GAGAGAGAGAGAGAGAGAGAGAGAGAGAGAGAGAGAGAGAGAAACCACACCACTGCCACCCAGCGGCAGCGGAGGCACGCGCGGCCGTGTGCGCGTGCTCTTTGTTCTCACAGACCACCATTTCCACCAGCGTTTTATCACCAAAAAAATAAATAAATAAATAAAACTCGACCTGGGGAGGAGTTGCATCCCCACGCTGCTGCGGTTCCACCGCGCAACATCCGGGGCGCAGTGTCCTTGAGCTGGACACTCGCTGACCCAAAGCTGACCTCCCTTAAGGATAAAGTTGGTGGGGGAGGTGGGGAGAGAAATGGGCATAATTGTATCAAAATGGCGCATCTTTTCTGATTTCTTCTCACTGTCGTGCATATGTGGCGGATCACACGTGGAGATGATTGAATAAGGAAGGGAACATGTTGTGGACCGAGCCTTTCAGTAATGGAATCAGCCCTATATGTATCCCCGTTAATGAGCTGCTCAAGTGGGAAACGTTAATTACAGATTCAGGCCCCGCGTGTTTCTGCGGGGCATCCTTCTCCACGTGGGAGTGATCAATCATATTTTTTTTGCACGCATCGTGCAGCCAAACGCAGAGGCTTGTTGATCGGTTTACTGTTGTTGCCTCCGTCCCTGCGTATAAAGATTGATGGTTTTACAGACAGGGGGAGCAGAGAGAAGGGTGAGGGGGTATTTTTCCAACAGGGGGCAGAGTCAGTCTGCGGAATCCCCTCCATCCCCCGGTCCCCCCCCCCCCCTCCGTCACGTACGCAGCGCGCCCACTCACCGCAGCCTCTCACGGCTCCAACTGTTGTTTTAGTTTTTTTTTTCTCCCCCTCTGCAAGCAATTTGCACATCATACCCAACAGCCTTAGAAATATGACCTCCAACCCCTAAAAAATATTACCTGCTCATACGGGGCGAAGCTTTGTTTGTTTGTGGAACAAATCCATTTCTGAAGCAGATCACAGACGTGCGCGACCAGTCCCAGTCCCGAGAACAGACGCTGTGAACTTAAAGAGAAGGAAATAAAAAAAAAGAAAGTAAGTAGATGTTTGACAGTAATGAGCAAAAGCAGGTTACCTGTCCTCCTGATAGATATGAGCCAGCTGTATAATTGTTTGGAACTGGTCACCTGAATCAGCAGATTTGAGGAGTTTTTTATTGGATGGGGGGTCCTTTGTTCCGGAGGGGTCCTGACCCCAGACCTGCTTACTGGAGAGGTGAGGATTCATGCTTTTCTGGTTAGGTTTTAATTCAAAGATCTGAATTTTCAGATCAGGCTCATAAACAGCCTGAGTCATGGGGAAAATAGATAAGACATAAAGTCTTGCATCAGTTTGGATTTTTTTTTTTTTTTACGAATCACTGACAAAAAAAGTTGTTAGAGAACATTCAATAAAGACACATTCGGCTGAAACTGGTGTTCCAGTCACGATCAGAATTGTTGCTTTGTAATTCTTGCTGAGTTTCCAAACACTTGATCTTGATTTAGAAATAGCACAGACAGAATGTTTCTGCAGAAAATTTCCGAGAAGTATCAAGAGGATTAAATGTGTGTAAAACAAACAAACATCTCGTTAAATAAGGAAGTCTGGACTATGGTGTGACTGACATCAGATAAGACCCGTGAAGAGCTCCAACATCCAAATAGTTACTGCTATTAAAACAGAAGGCCAACACTTAGTTAAAGTTTGCTTTATTTCCTTTTTCAATATGAGGTTTATTGAAGGCTTGCATATTTTTCCACAAAATCCTTTAGCTACTCTCTACTAGATTTAGGGGAGAATTAGTGGGCCTTTGATTTTTTTTTCTTAGTTCTGGAAATTACAGCTCATGTTTAACCAAATTGGGGACCATCCACACGTTCTCTAAGGTGAATTCCAGTCCACTCGATTATTAACCTTAGATTGTGCTTATCTCTACCTATAAATGCACGAATGAAGAACAAATAAAACGACGCATCGGTACTATTAAGAGGTTTACCACCCCAAGAGGTAATTTGAATGTCTGTGTCAACAAAGTAAGGTCAGTCTTTGATAACGTATATCACCTGGGCAGATTTTTCTGTGCTGACAAAGCAACACCAACACGTAGAAGACAATTAGGTACAAATAAAGTTTCGAAAATAAATTCTCGACATAGTTGTGCTCTAATGGGAGAATGTGCGCATGCGCTTAAATGAAGTTGATAAAGAGGAAAAAGATCACCTCCTGATTGGAAGATGAAAGTATGAATAACTGAAAGAACTGTGCAGACTTGAATGGATTAAGACTCAGTGTCTGTAGGGATACGAAAGACTGACATCAAACTATGGTGAGAGTTTTTCAGCGAATTTCTGACCCAGCAATCCATTCATCCCTGAACTACCGCACATAGAAAAGTCTGTTTTATCCCTCCTTCAGCCTGCTGTGAGCTGTAGAAAAGAGACAGCTCGGACCCAAATAGTTGATAAAAGCGCCACTTTGTTACAGCCTGTTAATTGTGCCATTTCAACAGCACAACCGCGACAGAAAGGTTACCAAAAAAGAAAGGAAAGATTAGACGTTTGCTAAAGTCTGCGTTTCTCCACAACAATTTAAAACGCGACATTTTCATAGGTAAAATTCATTCCAGGAAGTAATAGACTGGCTGCCGTTTCCTTGTTGACCATCCACACGTTCTCTAAGGTCACACAGCAGCGGCGTCTTCTTAAAGGGGACGTTTTTCAGACTGATGTATCAGGAGACTGTCGGAGGATCTAGAACCCGCGAGTACGCGTGCGTCCTTCACAACTAAAAGAAAGACTTTCAGACAATTTGCAACATTTAACCAGAAATGTGCGATGAGATCTCCCCTTCCAGGGAGTTCTGAGTTCTGAGATGTTGAAGAGTTTTTCAAGAACATGTTTCGGAAAACGTTCAAAGATCTGAAGCAGAAAGTATTTAAAAACCATTCTCTTCAGTCGAACTGTTGGTAGGAGATGCGAAGTCAGCTTTATTCCAACACAATTCAAGCACTTAACTTTTTTTCTTTGCGTTTTTCCCAAAGACATGTACTGGTCAGGTCAGAGTGTCTGGATCTCCTCCAGAGGCGTTTGCGTTGTGCCAACATCATGCTTCCATTTCTGAAAATTAAAAATCAGACTTGTGCGCCTCTATCTTGAATTATTCAGAGAATTACCATAACGAAAACGAGACGCTGACATATGGGGAGTTGTTCACTTATGCTAAACAGGTCAGAGGAAGAAAAGACATGCACTGGATAAGAGGCAGCGTCGGAAAGTATTTTATACTGAAGTATTTCACAATTTATTTAGAGGATAGAAGCCGGGTTTGTGCACATCCAGCCTTTCGACATCTTTAATTGGATCCAGCCATCGGGGCTTCGATCACTTTGTTTGCGTGTGCGCATTTTTGACGTCAGAGTTATGACGCAGATTTACGCAAAATTAAATTTTAAAAAAGGAAAGAGACGTGTCTGCACTTCATGGGATTACGCACAACTCGGAAAGGGGGGTAAAAAAAAAGCACGAGGAATGAGAGGGCTGATCAGTTTCGCAACCCAAAAGGAAAATGGACTTTGGACAAAGTACCGACTCAGAGGTCAGTCCGATAGCCGGGACGCTGGAGCCCTCTGTCCGTCATGTGAACCTCAGGAATCCCACTCAGGAGAAACAGGGGAGCTTAAGATGGAAATGAAAGAACAATGTGAGAGCTAACCTTCCACTCGGAGGTTTAACTAGTCAGCAGCTGCTAAAAAAAGAGATGTGGGGTTAAATATTTGTGCATTTTTCCCCATCCAGAAGAGGAGGACAGTGCTCAAGTCTGGATGTTCCAGGTTGAAAAGTCCCTCATATTTCAGCCTGCAGGACTGAGGGCTGAAACTCTTACTGATTAACTCCTGACTGTCTCTAGACTCGGTGGGCATGCAGGGAAGTCCCTGCAAACATACCGCGTGCGTTGAAGCGTGACTAAGAACGGTACTTGTTCGGTTTTGCTCTGAGCTGAGAGTCAGACCCGCGCAGAGAACGTGTCAAAAAATTTTAAATCACCCTGTTGGATGGGAAGTGCCGCCATCTCATCAAGCCGAATTTTTATTTATTATTTTTTTTAATAATGCTGATCATTAATGGAGCTCATCTGTACAATAAATAAAATAACTTGTGATTTTTCTAGCTTTTTTTTTATTAGTGAGTGGGCTTATCTCTATAAACACACACCTCATTTCAATCTGTTTTTTGTTAGACATCGTAGCAGCAGAAAATAAAAATAAATAAATAAACAACAACAAACAAACAAAACCAGAAGCAGAAGGAGCTGTCATGACTTTCTCTGGTCTAGCCCGTTTGGCATTTGTGTGGAAAGGTCCCACTGCCGCCCTTTAATCACCACACACTCTCATCTCAGCAGTGGGGACTGTGCTGTTTTTAACATAATCTAATTTAGAGAATAAGGTTGATCTAGTAAATGTAACAGAGGATATGAGGTGACCCGTGGGGGGGGGCTGTGTTAAAGGTCCTTCACAGAGATGGGGATGCAGAGGTGACCTATAAGAGAGGGATCTTTTTTTTTCTTTATTATTTTTTTTTCCTTAATCAGTCTTTGACTGATCGCTGAACTTAGACCACTAATAGTAATTCTCGCCCCATGGCTAAATCTTTCCTGAATTTCTTGAACTACCGAGATGCCTTAAAATGAAAGGGCACGTTGATCTCTATCTGAGAATAACGGCGGACAGAAGAGTGCACGTAGCCTATAGCCTTCAGACATCTGACACGATGACTCACTAACCACCTGAGAGCTGTTCAACTGTCTCCGGAAGGCTGCTGAGGCATCTCAACCCCTCAGCCTTAAGCCTCACACCGAGGGAGACCACCTGCTTTGTTTCCAGGGCTGGTCACATTTTAAGGGTCCGTAGAGTCGCGCGCATGAGCGTCTGCCCTCATCAAAACGTGAAAAAACCGCTAAACTCGGATGGTCAGAGTCCCCCCCCCCCTGGGGATTTGTTTAGGGTTTCCCGCCCTTTTTTTTTCCCGCTCCCGGGGAACCAACCCCCCCCCCCCCCCTCTCCCCTCCCTCCCTCTTCTTTTCCCCAGCTCGTCCACACCGCTGCATCAGCTGATCCGTCACGTGGTCTGATGTCGTCTCTGCAAAATGGAGTTGTCTGAGTCTGTGCAGAAGGGGCTGCAGTCGCTGGCCGACCCCTCCGCGGTGGACGCTGGGGGCTTCCAGCCGCTGGTGGAGGCGTCCTTCCGCAGCCTGCTGTCCGCGCACGGCGACCCCGCGGTCCTGGGTGAGCCGCCGCCTCCCCCCTTGCCTCCCCCGTGCCTCCCCCCTCCGTGCCTCCCTTTCTGCCTCTCGGCTTCGAGCCTTCGCCGCCGCTTCCGGGTTTCCCCCCTTTCGCCAAGATCTGCAAAAAGGGAGCCCAATCGGATGTTTTTTAGCCGTGCAGGGCTGGATGATGAAATATTCAGCAGGGTGGGGAGGCTGAGCAGACCGGGTCCTCTCTGGGGGGACACTCGGGAGGTCCATCCCGGCTATAGCCGACTTAGCTCCGCGGAGAGGCGTTTCAGTCACCCGTGGGACGAAACGTGATCTCGTTCGTGAGCTTTAACGGTGTTTGCTAGACTCCTGGTTGATCCATCCGGTTTTATTCCTGCTTTCCCCGTGCGTCCCAGCTCAGATGGGTGTCCGCACCGTTTCGAAAGTGAAGTGCCAAGCAGACAAACAAACAAAAGCCCCCCCTCCCCTCCCCTCCCTCCCTCCATTCCCCCGGCTGATGCGGCGCATTCACATGCAAATCGGCATTGATTTCCATTCTGCTCGTCAGTCTGCGGGATCCTCGCGTGCAGGATCGCAGACCCGCACGGGACTGTTCCGTTTCCGCCGGGCGGGGTTTGCCGGACAGCCTGCAGGGGTTGGCAGCCCTGCCCCCTCACGTTCCCGGTGTCCGTGTGCTCTCAGATGACCCCGGGCTGGCGCGCGTGGACCGGATCCTGCTGAAGCAGATCCACGCCGCGGCGGCCACCTTCATCCTGGAGGCTGTCCGGCAGGGCGCTGACCGCTCGGCCATCAGGTGAGTGGACACTCCCCCGCCTGCCGGACACGTCCCCGGCCTGTGTTGTTGACACCTGAGCTGACCCGTGACGGGTCAGCACGGAGGCCGGAGCCTGAACCGGAGCGTCGGAACGGCCGGACAGGATTCAGGGGATCTTTTTTTTCTGATTAAAACAAGCTGTTGAGCTCAGTTCTGCTGCATGTGGGGCCAGTATGTCCCGCGTCTGTTACTGTAGGGGAAGTTCTGCTCGTTGTTTGTGTGGAGAAGTTAACATTATTGATTTTCATCCCCCCTCTCCCTCCTCCTCCTCCTCTTTTTTTGTGGTCAGCATGAACAGCAAATGGTGGGGAGCATCTCACAGCCCTTCCTGTAGTTAGAGTGGACACAGATCAGAGGAGGTTTATGTGTTTCTAAGTGTTTGCCAGGTTTTCCATTTGGATCCAGTATCAGAGAAGTCATGGAACCATGTATAAATATTTTTTTCTGCGGGGGGTGGGGGGTTGGAGTATTTCTAGTAATACTGGTTTAAAGTGGAAATGTGCAGTTCTGTGACTGCTTTTCAGGAAAATTAAGTACTTATAAATGAAAGAATGATTGTTTTCCTCTTGCAGCTCCTGCTTGGAAGAGCTCTCCTTCAGTACAGAAAAAATTGAAATATTCTATGGCACATATCAGGTACAGTGGACTAAGTGTGTTTTTTTTCTTGTTAGATCAATTCTTTGGATAACGTTGCTGTGCTTGACTTATAAGGAACTGAAGTTTTTTTTTTTTTACAGAAACATAAAAAAGAACTGGAGTGCCTCTTAGCAAGGTAAGAATAGCTTTTAGATGGCCAGTGGGGAGGGAAGAAAGTGTGTTTTTTGTCAGAGGAAAAGCTCGTTTTGCACTCTGGTAAAGTCCTTGTGTAGTTAGAAAATTAAAGAGATTTTTTTCTTTTTACAAATCATTTGGTTTTAGAGGAAAATGTCCGGTTGGATCAATAGAAACACAGATAAGTTGTTGTTTTAGCTCATCAAAAGCAGTCTCTCTCTCTGTGTGTGTGAGTCTGTGTGTGATTCACGTAAAAATAGTTTTATGACACTCCGTTAACAAATTCCATTGGAGAATAAATCGCTGTTTCATCTGAAGCCAGAATCTCTCACAGATAACATCCAATGCTTCTGTTCTGCATTATCTCTGCTTTATAAATTCACACAAGCAGCAGCAGCACAAAAAAAACTTCTCTCTCTTCCAGCATCGGGAGGTGTCCGGCTAAAATTACCGACGTTTCCTGGCGTCTTCAATACCACACCAAGGTTTGTAACCGACTTAAAGACCCTGCTTTTAGTTATGAAGTTAGTCTACTGAAGCTAAATAAATAAATAAATAGAATAAAAAATGCGGCTTCCTCACCAGAACGCGCAGCTGGACAAGGTCAACGAGCCCTTCTACCAGATATCCCTCAGCACGGAGGTACCCCCGCCGTGCCGTGCCGCTCCGCCTGTTGGGTGGAAGTTTCTGAGGTTTCTGAGGTTTCTGAGGGCTGATCCGTGGTTTTGTCTGCTTCTTTGTCAGAACGGAGGCTCCTCAGAGGACGTCAACTTTGCCTGCACGACGGAGCAGCTGCAGGTAAGAAAAATAGATAAAAAAACAGAGAAGCAGAGTCATTTATCTGCTGTTTAAAAGGAAAATAAAATACAAAAATTGAATTTATCCCGGACACAGCACGGGTCAGTTTACTGCCAACAACCAGAGACATGAAGCAGTGACACGGTACTGGGGACCAAAACCTGCAACTCACTTTAAAACTCTGCAAATTTTGTCTCAAGCTCAGCAGGGGGAATTTTATTTTCTGTTATTTCTGTCATTCCAACTGCAAATAACCGGGGGCTGTTTGCTTCTCAGGACCTGGTGGGGAAACTGAAAGACGCCGCAAAGAGTGTGGAGAAAGCCAGTCAGATGTGATGAACATATACCCGAGACATCTCTCTCTCTTTTTTTGTTCTCCCTCTTTTTGATATCACTACTTTTGTACGTTTGAAGGACACATGCAGGAGTTTCCTCTGACTGACGTGGTTTGACTGAAAAATAAAACGCTTGGCTTCTTCTGGACATTTTTTTTTCTTGGTGTCAAACACAAACGCACAAAGAGAAACTGCGGAAGAAACGTCTTTGAGTTGGATGTGGAATAATAAAAATGCACGTGGGGGTTGTTGGTGTCAAAGTGAGGAGAACATTTTTGCTTTAAACTTTTTTTTAAAAATAAAGATAAATGGTTTGGAAACTTAAAAACTAACGGCAGTTAGTTTACTGCGGCATCTGTTGCAATGAGAAGCTCGGTCCTACTTTGGACTTTACTCTATAAAAAAAAAGACCATTAACAGAGAGCCAAGTCCCTCTTGGCCACATTTGCTCTGAATTTCGTTTCTTTTCCCTGGAGAGGCTTTAAAGCGCCTGCATGCATCCACCTCAGCTGAAGCTTCTCCAGCTGGAGCTGCGCGGGGGCTCAGATTCCACAAACATCCGAGGTGCCTTCGTTTCCAGCGGGATAAAGACTCCAATTCATCACGTGAATTCTCCCCCCCCCTCCCTCCCTCCCTTTCTTTTTCTTTTTCTTTTTTTTTTTGGGGTTGCAGATGTCAGGACAGCCCGCGACAAAGGTTTCACGTCGAAGCCATTTGTCACGTGGACGCATCTCAACCAAGTGCGTGGGTCTCTGGATGAGGGTCTGACCCCTCGGAGTCCGCGCGCCGTGCGTGTGTGTGTGCGCGCGCGTGTGTGTAGGGGCTTTCGCCGTTAAAACGAGTCAAAACGCATGTGCTCCTGTTATTTTTAACATCAGAGAGATTGGGGGGGTGGGGGGTGAGGGGGGGGGGGGTCACTCGCTACACGCCCTTCACGGTGCCAACGGGGCTGCCTTCATCCAACACGTGCACGTTCTCAGATTGCGTGCGCGTGGCTCGTGTGTTATTGGTGATCACGAGTAATATAAGTCCCCCACCAGGAATACAGAGCCAGCGGAGTAGTTTTTTTTACTCTGGTGTCCTCTGAGCTCAAACAAAGCTTGTGTTGCTCTGCCGTGTTACAGTTTATTTAAGAAAATTAATAAATAAAAGCTCCATTCGCGTGCGCGCGGCCGTGTTTTGTGCCGTGTGTCACTGCGCAGTGGATTTGGAGAAACGGCGTGTACACCGACAGTAATTCCCAGGCACCCTTAAGCAACGAGACCACGTGACCAGAGCGGGGCGGTCGAACTACAAGCCATTTTGGGGACGGTGTCAGTTTCCACGGAGCACACACACACTGCTGCATTTCGCTGGTGGCGAAGCGGATATTTTGGAGGCAAACTTATCGCCGCCGAAAGCGGGAGCCCCTTTCCACCGAGCCCGGGCCGTCGCACGCGCAGCTTCGGGAGCCGCGGATCGCGCACGCAACGGGGCGCGCGGGCGGCGCCGAAAGGAGGAGTTTTTTCCGCTCGCACATCTGAAAATGCGCTCCGCTCCGCCGTGCGCTCTCCGCCACTGACAGCGTCTGCAGCCTGCTTCAAGATGGCGGCTCGGCTCCTATTCATTTTCTGCTGATCGCCTCCCAACTTTCATTGTCTGTCCGCGTCGAGACCCCGCGATTCCAAGCCGAGCCTCCAGGTACGCGTCGTCCGATCTCGTCTCTGCCTAACGGGGGCGGCGGCCGGGCCGTTTCGGGGCTTTTCTGTGCGGGGATCCAGCGGTGGATGTGGGGCTTTGAGCGGCGGCTGCAGCGATCACCGACGTGGAGCTCCGTAGTGTGTGTGTGTGTGTCTCTCTCTCCTTGCGCACCACTTTTTTGTCCCCCCTTTTTGGCAAAAAACACGTTCCCAGCTCGGCGGTGGAAGCCCGTGGAGAGCCCCGCGCGCCCGCCGCGGCTGCGCGTGGCGTTCGGCTCTCTGCGTGTGGAAGTTTGACCGCTTTGCATCGTCTGGATTTGTGTGAAGTGGAAGATCCGAGGCGAGCCGGGCTGGGCTGGCGGAGATGTGACCGGCAGCAAGTGCTCCAAACAGCCCTCCCGTGCTCCTGCTTCCACGCACAGGCGTCAATTTATAGAAATGGGATGGCTGGGGTGTTAGGAACCGGGTCCTGTGGGGCTTTTTGGCAAATAAGACCGAATATTGGATTTATTAACTTAACACGCACAGCTCCCGGGGACGTGACATGGTGGCCATGCCATTTGATTTGGGCTTAAATGCTTCATGACGGCTGCTTGATAGACACTGGATGGTCAAAATAAATTGAGACTAATGGTTTGGTTTGTGCGTATTTTGATGAGGTGGTGGTGGTGGGGTGGACTCTTTAGGTTTTGTTGAGTTTAAACACAACCACGTAGCGAAGTGGGCGACGCTCCTGCTGGTGTACAAAGGGGCGACTGTGTGTTATCGGGCAGGAAAAGCACTGGTGATTCCACCCAAAAATGAACGCGAAACCAGTCAGCGTGGAACGGTTTGTTTGGCGTCTGTAAGCTCCCAGCATTTCCCCCCCATCAGGCTGAAGGCTGGAGTTGAGTTTGCCCCGGAATCAGTCGGTGCTTTCTGCCGCCGGG